ACACACACATATATTATGTAAACAAAAACTTTTATTTTGGAATGCAATTAATCGTTTGACAACACTAATATATATAAAATATATATGTATATATAATAATCATCACTAGTGGGAGTAATATATGTATAATATATAAATAATTATAAATGTTACACATTTTGCAAAACATCCAGGACATAAAACAAAAAATATATATTAATATAATAGTATAACTATTAATAAATAAATTATTAGTATTACTGAACAGTAATTTACCACCACTAATATTATTATTATTATTATTATTATTATTACCCTATATTTATTATCCAGTTTTGTGTAAACAGATTGGTATTGCATGGAAATGAAAGGTCAAATCAAGCACATTGCATAAACAATTTTGCATGTGGCTGACAATGTATATGCTACATTGTAAAAAATTATATATACTGCAACAATAGCATGAGTAGTATGGTAATATTCAGTTCTGCCTTGGTCTTGCCTTGCCATCCAGAAGTTGCTGTGGGTGTATGACATGTTGTTCTCCAGGTCTGGAGCTGCTCAGTGGAATCCTCCGTCCAAGAGCACCTAAAGCACACACACATTTCTGTTGGTCAAGGACTCTGCTATTGCCTTAGGCTGTGGACTATGGAATCCGTGCAGTCTTTCATACATGTTATTGTACCTGCATGTTTATACCTTAGTGTCCTGATGGAGTACATGTTTCAGAAGAAAAATTTTTTCTCCTGTTACCTGAGGCACGTTTTTTTCATCTTCATTAATAATAGATCATACCAGAATAGCGCAATCACTGACACTTAGAAAAAGAGGATTTTAGACCTAAGGCTGTTTTGATGAGGGATTGTGTAAGTATGTGTTCATTTGAGAGACATGCATATACATTTCTTCCTTGATAACAAACAGTACTCCAAGGACGTGCTTGGCAAGAAACAAACATTTACAGTTATTAAATAATAAAAATCCATATAATGATAACCCATTAACTCGTAACCAGGCATTAAGATTTTTTAAATGTCTGCAGTGGCAATAACACACATGTAAATATGCCCCCCCATTTAACTCACCTTCAGAAAATAAGCTGGTTTTAGCAGAGTTTGTTGATCTCATGCTTATTTTTTAGATCCTCTCGAGTCAAAGACACTACAAAAAAGCTCTCGTGTCCGTGTCACTGATAATCTTCTCTCCTTCTCAAATTCTCTTCTTTTCCTTGGAATTTCTGACTTACATACAACTTTGCCTCCGTCATTGCGTCCTTCCCTTCTAGTGAAATATGACACTGCACAGTATCTGTCTTTAAGTAAAAATGAGCAGGTATTTTAAGCTGCCTTGCTCATGCTTTTAAAGCGGTCTTGGGAAGGAACCTTTTTCTCCCTTGAAACTGTAGTAGATTTATGAAATACATAGCTATTTTTTAAGATTAATAAAACTAATAAATACACGTCTGAGGTGATATTTGTCTTAAATGATTCTCTGAATATCCTGTTCATAGAAAAGACACAAGTGGACATGCTCAAGGATATTAAAATATTATTTGAATAGTAATATAAAATATAATACTTTATAATATAAAATATTATATAGTTATCTGAAGGACAGTGCATGAGACTTTTTAATTTGAGAGCATTAAACGTTCAATGACTGCTTTTAAACTTTAAACACTGAAGACTGGAAAATGCTACTGAAAATTACATTTTGCCATAAATTAATATTATAAAATATATTTAAATAGAAGACAGTTAATTTAAATTGTATTAATGTTACTGTTTTTACTGTATTTTGAACAAATAAATGTACCCTTGGTGAGAATTTGAAGTGAAGTGTGGCCAAGTATGGTGACCCATACTCGGAATTAGTGCTCTGCATTTAACCCATACAAGTGCACACACACAGTAGTGAACACACACACGTGAACACGCACCCGGAGCAGTGGGCAGCCATATTGGGTTCGGTGCATTGCTCGTGGTATTGAGGGTGGAAGAGAGCGCTGGCTATTCACCCCATCCCCCCCGACAAATCCTGCCGGACCAGAGGCTCAAACCCGCAACCTTCGGGTTACAAGTCTGACTCTTGTGACTACTTTTATAGTGCAAACAGAACTATCTAAAATACCAATGACCTAATTTATCAATCGGTTTTTGTTAAATTATTTGTTTATTCTATATATGTCATGTATTACAAATATTTAGGCTAATAATACCAGGATAATAGTCATTTAACATTGGTAAGTTCTCTAGAGCATTTTTCTGACTTGCTTTTTCAAGTTAACTTAAGAAAAATTCAAAATAACTTGTTTTTTCAAGATGACAAGAAAAATAAGATTTGGAGAAAATAAGGCAAAAATAATCATGCTTCTGTGAGCATCTATTTATAACAGTAATTATTCTTTCTCTTTAGTGCCTCTATGAACCATGAAATCTCTGTACTGTTCTAGGATGGGGTCGCTATCTTGTGAATTAATTACTATCTTGCTGCATATTTCTCCACACAGTTTTCTCACAGCTTCAGTTCCCTAATGAAAATCAATGGACATGCAGACGGAATCATAAAATCTCCAAGGTTTTTTTTTCTGGTTCAGCTTAACATTGGATGTGTGAGACTGAAGCCCACCTTGGTGGTGTCCTGGACAGCAGAAGGTGACTGATTGGGTCCATTGTGTGGAAAGTTTCCCTCAGTGCTCTGTCCACTGCCTGCACTGCGACTGCTGCCCATGCTGCCTGCACTGCCCACACTGTTCCTGTCACCTGCTGAAAGAAAGAGGAATAAACAAACACAGGAGAAAGAAAATGAACAGTTGGTGAAATACTGCCTGTTAAAAACGACTGCTTTACTACACATTGGGCAACAAATGGGGTAAAGAATTTAGCAGCTATGATCGCTGAACTCCAGCAAGGTCTCTGTAGACAAGGGGAATGTGAAGGAGCACAAGGGCTAGTGCAAATTAAGCAATGTGAATGGCAAGCTGATGATAGGCTGACAAACTTAGGACAAATATAGCCTAAAGGAACAAGAACCCTGTGAAACAGCTGGGAAAAAAACTCAAATTGAGACAAAAGTCACTGGTGTGCAGGCTTTGGGACAGCCGTGGGGATGAGAAAACAAGGGCCTGGGGAAACGGACAACTCTTACCATTAAGAGAGGTCCTGAGGACCCAAATATCCTCTGGCTCTTTGGGACTAGCTGGCTTACACAGGGCACTGGGACTGTCGGGAATCGCACCTAGCAAACACAAACACTTTAAAGGGCCATGGGGGGAAACTCTAGGAGTCCAGATATACTTAAAGCGAAATCGAAGAAAGAACTGGGGCCTCATGTATAAAACTTTCCATAGATTTCATCCTAAAAGTGTACGTACAAAAGCCAGACCCTGCGCAAAAATCCTTTTATAAATCCCTGTCAGCGGAAGATTGTGCGTACATGCATCTCCTCTCCAAAATCACCATATATGGAGCTTACAACGCCTAGTTTTACTATGCATAACCTCATCTGCATATCATTTCCATGCATATTCCCATCCACGTGACACCATGTTTAACACCGTCAAAGGTACAAGACATTAGGAAAATATGACATGCGGACTAAAATGCAATTTGTACGGTACAATACATTGCTAAAAAATCATTCAATGTCCTCGTCTTGTTTTCAAATAAATATATCAAAATGAATGTAAAAACAAAATTGTATAAAATACTTCTCAGAGAATCTTTTTAGAATAGAGTGGATCCTTTTCTTTTCCACTGGCCAAAGCAGTATATAATTGTTTTAAACAAATTAAATGCTTTAGGATATTTAAATAGCCTATAGTTGAATCAGAAATATGGTGTGTGTAAATAAGTGTACATAATTGTCTGACGCAGTGTCACTGACAAAATATTATAAAAAAGCAATGTGCAAATCTTATCGTTTGCTTCAGATTCTATCCTTCAATCACAATGCTATTTTCATAATGTTCTGAATGTTTGCGAAATAAACACCTCCGTGCAGCCTTGGTTGTGCAGTAGGCTAATATATTCTGACGTATTTAAACTTGCCAGAGGACCGTTCGACCACCGAATCCAGCAGTGTCTGCCACAATATAAAAGTAAGTGTGCATCGTTGATGTTCTTGCTAAAAAAAAATTCTCTTAACATGAGATCTGCAGTTTAAAGAAACATTATTGTGTGCCTAGCACTCCTCACTGCCATTAAAACAGCATGCAACAAGAAAAGTGATCAAAAAACAGCGCATCCACTACAAATATGTCTAAATATCTAAATTCATAAGTTATTGTTTAACTTTTGAATAATGACTTTATGTAATGTCAATGCTTAACTCCATTAATGAGCAGAATATTTAATATAAATGTGTATATTGAAAGGAAAAGAGTCTGAAACCATTAGGCTTCGCTATTACGCCAGTAAAAGTGTGTACACACGGTCTAGAGTACCTGTACGGTGCGCACATATTTACTCAAAGTTTATTTTTTATAAATCTCAATATGTACGTGGAAAATTGCGTACGCACATTTCCATGCCCATTTTGTGCGTATGCAATGTTTATGCATCAGGCCCCAGGTGTGATGACGTTTCGTACAAAATCAGAACAAAAAGTTTGTTTGGAGCTCGACACAACTTGCCTAACCGAACTTTCCAGAAAAGTTTGCTCCAGCTGGTAAACACCTTCAAACTACCAATGGTCCGTGGCGATTATGTACTGTAATAGGTTCATTTCCTCTGTTTAGTCTATCAAGGTCAGACATGTGTAAAAGCATAAATATACTGGAGAGCTGCTTAATAGTAAAAAGTGAAATTGTAATTCTAATTGAAAATGAAAGGGCCACTGTCTCTTATGTTTAAAGTATTAGTTCACTTCCAAAATAAAAATTCCCTGATAATTTACTCACCCCCATGTCATCCAAGACGTTCATGTCTTTTTTCAGTCGCAAAGAAATTAAGGTTAAATGTGTATATTGAAAGGAAAAGAGAGTCTGTAATCATTAGGCTTCGCTATTATGCCAGTAAAAGAGTGCGTACGCACGGTCTAGAGTACCTGTACAGTGCGCACATATTTACACCAAGTTTATTTTTTATAAATCTCAATATGTACGTGGAAAATTGCGTACGCACATTTCCATGCCCATTTTGTGCGTATGCAATGTTTATGCATCAGGCCCCAGGTGTGATGACGTTTCGTACAAAATCAGAACAAAAAGTTTGTTTGGAGCTCGACACAACTTGCCTAACCGAACTTTCCAGAAAAGTTTGCTCCAGCTGGTAAACACCTTCAAACTACCAATGGTCCGTGGCGATTATGTACTGTAATAGGTTCATTTCCTCTGTTTAGTCTATCAAGGTCAGACATGTGTAAAAGCATAAATATACTGGAGAGCTGCTTAATAGTAAAAAGTGAAATTGTAATTCTAATTGAAAATGAAAGGGCCACTGTCTCTTATGTTTAAAGAATTAGTTCACTTCCAAAATAAAAATTCCCTGATAATTTACTCACCCCCATGTCATCCAAGACGTTCATGTCTTTTTTCAGTCGCAAAGAAATTAAGGTTTTTGAGGAAAACATTCCAGAATTTTTCTCCATATTGTGGGTTAAGTGACGTGACATGTAGCCAAGTGTGGTGACCCATACTTGGAATTAGTGCTCTGGATTTAACCCATCCAAAGTGCACACACACACAGCAGTGAACACACACACACACCGTGAACACACACCCGAAGCAGTGGGCAGCCATTTATGCTGCGGCACCCGGGGAGCAGTTGGGGGTTCGGTGCCTTGCTCAAGGGCACCGCACTCCCCCCACCTCCATTCCCTGCCGGTACGAGACTCGAACCCGCAACCTTTGGGTTACGAGTCCGACTCTCTAACAATTAGGCCACGACTTTCCCTTAACCTCCCCCCATTATCTCTGAAATGTAAATTGTAAGTGGGCTATAATAAACCCATGTTTATCTTTATAAACATGATTCATTTTACTTGTGATGTTTTCTATATGGGATGATTAGCCTAATCCTCATGAACACGTGACACTGGCGCATGATATCAGACTCGAACTATACAGAATGCGAAAAATTTATTTGTAATGATCTCTGAAATGTAAATAGTAAGTGGGCTATAATAAACCCATGTTTATCTTTATAAACATGATTAATTTTACTTGTGATGTTTTCTATATGGGATGATTAGCCTAATCCTCATGAACACGTGACACTGGCGCATGATATCAGACTCGAACTATACAGAATGCGAAAAAGATTAACTTTAATACAAGGAGATAATGGCGCAAAAGCAAATTTCAGATTTTTTTTAAATGCCCTTCCCAGCAAAAACTTTCCAAAATCGGCATCCACAACACCAGCACGAGCACAGACGTAAGTGAACCAGCTCCAGCATGAGCACGGAGACGAGCAACGGAACCAGACACAGCATGAGCACGGAGACAAGTAAGCCTAGCGGACCCAGCCCAACCCCTGAGATTGATCAGCTACTATCGATAATTTAAAAAATGTGATATGCAGTCAAATTTCCCAGTGTGTATGCCACTTAAACGAGTGTTCATACCGACGCGCTTGTAGTGCTTTGTGGTGTTTTCAAATGAGGTGTCTCCCCCCCCCCGCCCTCCTCCTTTCACCCAGCACAGACACACACAGCACCCCCAACCGAAAACATCTTCCCGCGCCTCTGGTCCAAACTGCAGTTTCAATGCAGCTTCAAAGGGCTCTACACGATCCCAACTGAGGAATAAGGGTCTTATCTAGTGAAACAATCTGATTTAAAAAATAAAAATAAAAAAAAAATAAATAAATAAATAAATTTATATACATTTTCACCACAAATGCTCTTTTTGCAGTAGCTCAGCGATGCGTGTCCGCGACTTCAGGCATTATGTAATCACGTTGGAAAGGTCACGTGTGGTTAGTTCTTCATCTGTGTACTTCGGTTCAAAAAGTAGGGTAGGGCGAAAAACTGTCATTTTCTTCTCCAACTTCAAAATCATCAGACACTGTTGTTTTACCTTTTTTGGAAACAGCGTTTTACTTTCTTTGCACATTTGCTTTGTAAACACTGGGTCGGTACGTCTATCAACCTCACACGTGACCTTTCCAACGTGACTATGTAATGCATGAGGTCGAGCTAGTGCAAGACGAGCATTTGTGGTTAAAAAAAAAAATTTTTTTTTAAGAATTTTTATTTTTTTTTAGAAAATGAAATTTTTGCTAGATAAGACCCTTATTCCTGATCGTGTAGAGCCCTTTGCAATTTGGACCTTCAACCCACCGCCATTGAAGTCCACTATATGGAGAAAATCCATGGAATGTTTTTCTCAAAAACCTTAAATTCTTTTCAACTGAAGAAAGAAAGACATTAACATCTTGGATGATATGGGGGTAGTAAATTGTCAGGAAATTTTTATTTTGGAAGTGAACTAATCCTTTAATACTGTAAAGTTGCTTGCTTTAAACCAATTTATTGTATAAAGTGCTATATACATAAACAGGACTTGACTGGAGTGCGGAATTACAGAGCTGGTGTAATAATATCCACGTCGCTATGATCAGGTGCTTTCTTAACTTCTGTTTTCTCACCCCTCACATTTTTGTTGCGTGTTTGTTTACTTATAAAGAGGAAAGCAAAATTTACATATTCATCTAAATTGCGCTCTCTGCAGCGTGGGTAAACTGTAGTAAACTGCTGTTAAGGCATTTCAAACTTTATCTCCCAAAGTGAAAAACTGAAAAGTACTTCATCGTGAGTATATCACGTCCTTCACACTGACTGAAAAAAAAGATGGACGACGCGTCTCCTATTCCTTTCACTATAGAAAAGTGAAGCCAAAGCATCTCAGTATGGCTGCTGCCATCTTGAGTAAATTACGTCATTTGGAGCCCGAGTCTGCGCAGTAGTGTCGTGAGGTGGAGCCGCGGTATCAAACTCCTCAATCAACCATAACGACACGCCCCGTTTTTATTAGGGGTGCTCCGATTGATCAGCTACCGATCACTATCGGCCGATAATCACATTGGGATGATTGATCGGCAGTCTCTAAAAAGGCCGATCTCAAAAAAACGATGTCAAGCTGATGACGCTGCCGTGAGAGATTTGGCACGACATGCAGCGGCACCGTCTCAGTCTCAGTCCGGCGCGGGTAAAATAATTATAAAGCTGAAGGCGAGGTACTTTTTATTTTATGCGCTCATGTTAACAGATTAATAAAGCATGCACACTGCAGACGGTTGCGGTCCGGCAGTGTGTTCCAGGAGCAGTGCGTCTGCAGCAGAGCAGAGATCGTTTCCAGACCGAGTCTATTTTTGCTGCGCTGCAAGCACTGAATTAAAGTAACAGCACATTTTTTGCAGTAAATATGAACATGGATTGACACAAGAATTTAGTAATTACACCATAAATGCATATTATTAAAGTCTACTGTGTTTCACAATCAACACATTTTGGTTTTTGGCTAGGTTTAAAGGAAAAGCACTTTTAGATCAACAAGGCAATAATAGATGGCACTCGTGGAGGTAGGAAAAGGTAAGAAAAGTTATTTATGAACCGATTGCTTGCAATAAAGATTTCAATGCAAAAGGAAAGAGTAGAGCTGACTATTTCTGTCAATGGTAAGTTTGTGATAACGTAAGAAAAGCAGTTTAAATGTTTTGACACTTGCTTGAGCAACTTAACATATAAATCTAGAAGTAAATGCAAAAGTAAAAAGCATTGAATAATGTTGTTGTGTTGTTTATATTTATTGTGTTTATTTGTTGTATATATATTTAACATGTTTGTGTATTACTGCACTGTGTAAAAAAAAAAAGAATCACAATGCTGAAAAAGCATTTTCAGTGACAATGTTTACATTTGAAATCAAAATAATGGATAAATGTTGTGTTTGTGGTAAACGGCCACGGATCAGTAGCGGACTCCTGTGTGAAAGCTGCTTCCCCTCTCACAAGAGTCACTTAAGAGGGGAATTGCCCCCCATTTTCAAAAATGAAATTCAGGCCCTGAATAAATGTCTAAAAAGCCTGATTGGAGTATCACTATAAATAGTTATAAATTATAAAAAGAAGGCTTTAAAAAGATCGGTATCAGTGATCAGTATCGACAGATACTGCTTTCTGTGATCGGCTATCGTGATCGGCCTCAAAAACCCTGATCGGAGCACCCCTAGTTTTTATAGCATCAAATTACTAGCTAAAATCAAACTTATCACAAAAAAACAAACAATTGACCATATATCAGCGTAATAACAACTACCTTAAATGACCAAAACCATCTTTCGGAAAATTGTATTGGACGTGTAATTTATTTTTTTTATTTTGACTCAAATCCCATTCGTTTACATGGAGAGGGCGGGGTTTATGACCTGTACTGCAGCCAGCCACCAGGGTGCGATCAAAGAGTCCGCAGCTTCACTTTTCAGGAAGTGTGAGGCACACCCGGTCCTTTATGGCTAACGCAGATCAAAATAAAAGTTTCACCAAGAATTACGTAACTTTGGATTTGGGATAACTTGGGAAAATTCTAAATGTAGCTACGATGGATTAAAGTACAGTTTATGTTGCTCATGTGGTGAGGCATTGAGGAGTTTTTTGCTTCCACAGATACTTGGATGGGCCCTTGAAGTGAGATTGTAAGTCTGTAGGTGTACGTACTTTGAATTAACCCCTGAGTCTAATTCTCACACTACCTGGGTGCTGATCCAGCCCATTGTGGTGAGTCAGTACAGGACGGGTGGATGAATATAAGGTGTAGGAGTCGTCAGTGTGAGAGGTGTGATGAGAACTGTGTGAGGACAGGGCTCTGGACAGAATGTGATGTCTCTGGATGGGTAGTGAGGCCTGCCGGGAGAGAACACCCCCTATGGACACAATATGGAAACACAAATGAGGCGTCATGGACATAAATGAAACATCATCCTTGAGAAAGATGTTTCCATTAGGGACATGCTCTAAATAATATAAACTAATGGACATTTATGAAAGTTTGGGGTCAGTAAATTTTTTTTCTTGTATGTAGCAAGGAAGTATTTAATTGATCAAAAAGGACAGTAAAAGCCATTTATTATGTTACAAAAGAGATCAATTTCAAACAAATGCTATTCTTTGGAGCATTCTGTTCATTGGAGAATCTAGAAAAATATGTATAAAGACTTCCACAAAAATATTAAGCAGCACAAATATTTTCAACACTGATAATAATTAGAAATGTTTTTTTTTAGCACCAAATAAACATATTAGAATGTTTGAAGGATCTTGTGACACCGAAGATTGGAGTAATGGCTGCTGAAAATTTAACTTTGGCATAACAGGAATAAATTACATTATACAATGTATTAAAACAAAACCGTTATTTTAAATCCTAATAATATTTGACACTATTACTGTTTTTACTGTATTTTTGATCAAATAAATGCACACTGAATGAGGCTGTGTGAAAAAAAAAATTTTTTTAACCATGCCCAAACTTTTGAATGGCAGTGTAAATATTCATTTATTTTATTATTTATTAAATAAATAATAAAATAAAAAGGTGAAATAAGAACATGACATCTCATCACTTACTCATTCTCATATTGTTCCATGTTATTTTATTTCAACTGTTTTTGTCAATACAATGCATTCCAGTGGGGTCCAAAACAACTGACACCCTCTAACTTTCATTGTATAAAAAAATAAACGGAGTGTTCCACAAAGAAAGTAGGCCACACAGGTTTAAAACGACATGAGGGTGAGTAAATGATGACAGCATCTACATTTTTTTTCTCTTTAACATGAAAGACAAATCCATTTTTTTCTTTCCATACATTAACTTCAAAAACTAAGATGAACCTGGGGAGGCTTTAACATCCTGATAAGATAATGCAGGTGGGAGAAACACCCCAGCACAATGAGTTAAGTGGTTGGGTTTTAATCTGGCTGTTTTGCCTCCATCATGTCTCTTCAGCAGTATTGAGGCAGAAGCTTAGAGCGGAGGCTAATTTCGTGTGAGCAGCAGGATGTTGACGCTGTGACATGACAGAGTGCTGAGTCTGCCGCTACACTCGCTCTCACACACAGAAGAAATATACCAGGCTCATTTCAGGGAAAGAGTTTCTGCTCAGGACCTAGCAATCTAAGGCAGGCTCCCCCTTTCATGGAGGCACAGGGCTCTAAAGCTGATCCGCCTGCCCCCAATATGTTCCTGTTAATCCCATTAGTGCATGTCTGTGTGTGCCTTTATCAATGGACTACATGTCCACATGTCTACAAGAATTTATGAGAACTGCACTACTTTAGTATGCATTATTTTGATATGCATACTGTGGGATATAAAAAGTCAGAGAGTGCATTTAAAATGTGGGATTCAAATTCTATTTTAAGGCTAAAATATAGTTTTAGGATTTTGAAAGATTTAGAACAAATGTTATTTAAAAAATAATGTTCCACTACTTCTAAGTCAACTTGTGCTGCTGTCTTTAAAGCAAAATGGTAATATTTTTCCATTTTAATCTGCGCTCAAATTTGTATGCTGATAATATAATTTAGAATGAAAAAAAATAAAAAATATGGACCATATACTTGTAGTAAATGCTTGTGTAAGTTGAAAAATAAAACAGAATTATTCAGTATACCTGATCTGCGACTAATGACCTCCACGATGGAGGGAGGGAAGAATCCCACACGGTCAGTGCCTCTCTGACAGTCATGGATGTGTCCTTTCCAACGTCCATCCATATGCTGCTCTAAGACCTGGAACAGACCAATAAGATCACAGGATATTCAGCTCTTCGAATGCTTGCACATTTTATAATATTCATAAAAGTCTTCTCTTCAATAGCTATTCAATAGCTATCGAGACTTTTTCATTTATTATTGCGTGGAATAATTTCAATAATCTATGATTTAATTACAGCCCTTTGTGTACCCTACACTATTCAAAGCTGAACGACCTTTGTGTCATCTGGTTTTAAATAACAATCTTCTAACCTTTTTTTGTAACCTCATGGCCTAGCCTGTGATTGTTTCCTCATTTGGCTGCACAATGTGGTAAATTAAGTCAGTTGATTCCACACATGGCAGAGAGGACCTGTGTAGCAATGAAAGTCAATCCATTTGACTGACATGAAATTGTGTTTCAAGCGGGCCTGGAAAAAGACACCAAGAATAAATTTGCGGTTTATGCGTAGCAGCTGTCTGAGTTGTTTTAAGAGTCTATTCACTAAAGGAAACATACAAATTAGGTAATGGTGCAAACACGCACCTCACGTGATTGCAAGCCCAATGTGAAAGAGTAAATAAATAGACATGAAATATTGATTTAGCATGATTATATAACACTAAGTGCTTTTTATTATATTTGATATACTATTATAGTGTTTATAAATATTTTGGATTAGCTTTTAATTTTTTACATAGTTTTTATTTTAGTTTTTTCCCCATGTAATTTTATTAGGTGTTTTGTAATTTGTGTGTGTATGTGTGTGTGTATATATATATATATATATATATATATATATATATATATACAC